GATATGGGCGAGGTATGATATGAAGGGAGTTATGATAAAGGCTACTGACTTTCCTGAAGCCATTCAATATGGATTTTGTCATTTATAAGTAAGAGAAAGCTTGCATAATTAGGATACAGACTCTTTGGTAGCTTCAGGCTATATCCTAGTCAGGCAGTTTCAAATGACCTTGGCGCCTTCAAAATTGAAGGAGAGTCCTAGCAAAAAAAAATGTATAAGACCAAACCAAAGAGGTTCTCTCCTGATTGATTCTCATGCACTTCTTAAATATTTCTTTAGCTGAACTCCATATAACAGCTATATATACAGCCGCTTTAGTTCTATCTAAGCTGAGTTGAACGCTTGATAGCTTTTCCTATATATTTATACATGAAAGAGCAAAAATTAATTTTAATTTTGGGTAACTTGAAACCTTCTGTAAGTCAATTCCAAAAAACCTCTAGCATTACCTTGAACTTCTCTTTTTTTTAAGTAACTTGAGAACTTCAGCACGAAAATTCCTTAAAACCGCCTACAACTTGTACTTTGCTCATGAAAGATCTGAGAAAAAAAAATAAAAAAAATTCATGCTACAAAGGCCACGGTCACTAATTGTGTGAGCGAAAAATGTTCTAGACATCAATTAACCGTCCGCCCACTTTTTGACATTTCAAATGTGAACAAGAACAGGGCAAGAGCATGACTGACTCAACGCCTGTCAGATGACTGATGAAAAATTGTTGTAAATATTTTAGACTGTCGCATGTGAATGTGCGAGCAACCCACTAGAATCATCTCTATATATGGCCTTATATGATAGCCAGGTGGACAACTGCCCCCAACTAGATGCTAGTTTCATTTCATTTTCGTTTTCATTTCACAGCTGACTTCGCACTTGGCTCGAAAGTTATATCCGATTCTTAATGCATTTATTTTTATAGATTTACCAATACATATGCATTCACATTAACATTTCATTGACAAGATTTTGGCCGGCATGGCTGTTGGCCAAAAGTGCATTCGATTCTTGACGTCTGCGATTCTCAGTTTATTTTTATAAATTTTCGATTGGCTTTGCGCTGTTGCCACTCGCTAAACACGCCAATTAATTAAAAACATCGACTATACATTCGCTCTGCTGTTGCTGCGTCTTTTTTGCGTCTTCACATTGCAATTTGACAACATTTGAGAGCAGTTTGTAATGCCTGTCCATGAAAAATTAGATATGTTGTATGATATGGAATGGTAATACAATGCGATGGAAAGGATAATACTAAAGAATCTTAATGTAAATACAACTAAATTTCCCTAACTATACAAGTTACATATAATTTGGGGCATTTTCTTGTCTTTTACTAAGGATATTCTATATTGTTTAACATTTTTATACAATGTCTTATACCATTTATTAATTGTTCTTTACTTTTGTATTTCTTTGCAGGTGAGAATAAACATTCAAATAATAAGTTACTAGATACTAGGCTAGACCTATGTATAACACCCCTAAGATGGGTTGAAAGTAGTAAGTATAACGACGTATGGATGGGTATTTATTGGAAATGCCAATCGAATAGAAGAAATATGGAAATATAGATAAGCATTTATTGGGAATAATAATCGAATAGGAGAAATATGGAAAGGTTTTTAGCTTTCATGGTCAGCTTATGAGCTAGTCAATATAATAAAGTCCATCTCTTTTCCTACACAACTTGTCTATCAATAGAGCACCTTCCAGTGTTGCACAACGAATACAAATATGTCCAGTATGTCAGCTAGGCAATAATAAATCAAATATGTTTACAGTTTACAGTTAGTTTCTTTTCTTGAAGGTTCATACATATACATACGGTAAACCCTTTACAGTGCTGCACAACTAAAGTAAAACCATCTTGCTCTATTTACTCAATTTATTACCCAATATCAGTTCGAAAAGGTTTACACACTGAATATTTTCTTGGAAGCCTTGTGCTTTGGTGCGTCTTTGTTATCTCAGCAACTCTGGCTTACCTTCTTACAATATTTGCTTACTTACCGTTATGTCGTACGATCGAATGTGTTTACCAACACTAAGCCCCCCCAGGGCAAACACGAAAGAGCTTTACACAAGCGAAAACCCTTCACTTCCAGTTTGAGTTCACTTGAAAGATTGTTCTTATATTTGGAACTGGAGAACAGTGTGTACACACTGCCTAACTGATATGGTACCGCAAGTCTTTCCGCAAACTCCACAAGCACATATAGTCGTATATATTGAGTCGCAATTAAAAACGCCTCACAAATGTTGACTCTCTCAGCTGCTGTAAGTGCTGTAAAAACAAAAGCGTTAAGCCAAGTGCGCTGGCAGGAGAGTAGAGAGGGAAAGTATTCGAGACAATGACAGTGTTGAATAATGATGCAGACAGCTTGTCAACATTTCGCATTTCTTTTGGAACTTTCTACTCTTTTGTTGTGTTGACGTCTCCGATAAACCTGAGCGCTTAGCATAGCGTATATCGCAATTAAATGCCAATTAGAAAAAAAAAAAATGTTGCCAATAGATACAAATTTTGTATTCTCTATTCATTCGGGTTTTGCTTACGTGCGAAATATATGTACACAATTCTCTAATGAGCCAATAAATTTAGATTACGTATACGCGCAGGTGGCCTGCTGCAGCAATTTTCTTAAATCAAAAAGGCAGAGGCACACAGAGACTGCGCATGGCATGCATGCTGCACATTCTCATTATATACCCTG